GTGTTTGAGTTTTGTGAGTTTTGAACCACAAACCTTTCAGTTAGCAGCTGAGTACTTACTTAATTGCTGCTTCACTAGGGCTCCTTTCTTCTAACAACTTACCTGCATGTTAGGAGAAACCTTAGAACATTAAATTAAATTCACATGATCTTAAGTAACTAATGGTAAGTCCTTTCCAGTTCTAAAATCAATTACAATGATTTCAAGTTTTGAGCCTCCATTTTATCGAGAAAATGAAGGTCTTAAAGGAAATCAACCAATCCAGTATCAATGATGCTCTTTTAGCACTGTGAAGAAAAATCTGGAAGTTCCATTAAATACAGCTTTGGCAACCTGTACAACTGTCAAACACATCCAGAGCACCTAGAATCCTAGCTGAAACCAAACTTGCCTCTCTTAAACCCCAGTACTGAAACCAGCCTGGGGTAGGTAGGCAGTAAACACGATGAAGTCGGGGAAGGAGTGTGGAGAAGGGAGTCAAAGGGTGTCATGATGGCCAGGAAAAGCAGAGCTCAGTACTCAGGTAAGTTTTGCTTCTGGGGTCCCTGGTGAAGTTTTTGATCTGGAGACAGACAAGGGAGGGAGAGACAGAGGAGAGTCCGGGGCACCCAGGGTCCTTCTCTCACCTTATACTCCCAGGCGACATCCTCTATGGGCACAATAGTGTGGGTCTCATGCTCTGGGGACTGGCTGCAGGCCTCACACACCATCATGCCATCTTCTTTGCAGAACAGCTTCAGCCACTGTTCGTGGGGCTCACACATATCACCCTTCGATCCCATTCCTGGGTGAAAACCTAGCAGGCGAACTTTTTCCACCACATTGGCCAGCTGCCAGTTGGGCCGCAGGTTCCTAGGTTGCACAGGAGCCCGGCAGAGTGGACAGGTGTAACCCCAGTGGTGGGCTTCTCCTGGAACCTTCCAGAGTCCAGCGATACAGCTGTGGCAGAAACTGTGACCACAGTCGATGTTCACAGGCTCCTTCAGGAAGGTCATGCAGATGGGACAGGCCACTTCTTCCACAATGGCTTCCACCAAAGCTGCAGAATCCATGGCGCCTTCTCAGAACAAGTAAAACCAGGGAGAGGTAGTGGAGGCTGAGAAGAGAAAAAGGAAAACAAGTAAGAGAGAAAGGAAACAGAAAAACAGAGACCAGTAAAAGGTACAGCGTCTATAGCAGCGGTTCTCAACTTGTGGGTGGCAACCCCTTTGGGGGTCGAACGACCCTTTCACAGGGGTCGCCCAATTCATAACAGTAGCAAAATGACAGTGATGAAGTAGCAACGAAAATAATTTTATGGTTGGGGGGTCACCACAACATGAGGAACCGTATGAAAGGATCAAGGCATTAGGAAGGCTGAGAACCACTGGTCTAGAGAAACAATTTCTTCCTTAGGATCCTGTATTGACCTACTTTAAAATGCAATGGAACGCTGGACTGAAATTCTGACTGGGCCAAGTGGCTCATACCATAGGAGGGACATCTAGGGGATTCCTAAAAGAGCCGAAGCCAGCTGTTTTCTGTTTTCACTCAGTTGGACATCTCTGATGCTCCTGCCTCAGGGTTTACTCTGCCAGTTCATTCCCACCTACCTCAACCATACTCTGCAAATCAGAACGGTGTCTCTTGAATTTGGGCATGGTCACTTCCAATGTCACCTTCAGTATTCTAAAAAAGGGCAGGCATGGCACCTGTCACTCTCTCTGGTATGTTCATATGTACACTATTCAAGGTACACAACTGACAATACATAAGAAGCTCTACCTGCTTAACTAGGAGCGTTTTTCCCTTGTGTCGCACAGAAACAGCAAAGGAAACAGTAGTACTTTCTCCTCACCCATGAATTCCTCTCACTTCTTCAGTACCAAGATTCAAAACCAAATGCATTTGCGTTCAGTTGATTCCAACTCATCCCGGCCTGTAGAGCAGGCCAGAGCTGCCTCTGCAGCTTTCTGAGACTGTAACTCTTTTTGTTTGCTTGTTTTTATTTGCAATTGAATTAATGCCTGGATTTTCTTCTTTCATTAAACAGAGTAGGTATTTAATAAGTATCTGTTGGTTAAAGTTTATTATAAAACTCAGGTTTTTTTCTGACTGGAAAATTTTGGAATGTATAATAATGCCTTATATAACCTTTTCAATCAAAGAGGGAATTCTATCTCATTTAAAACAAAAGTAAGATTATTCTGAATGTAAGAAAACAATCTCCCAGAAGTAGTAAGTAACATATCTAGAATTCTTATTGAATAATTTGTTTCCCTTAGATTCTTTTGCTTTTCATTTTATACCTCCCTCCCGTAACTCTTCATGGGAGTCGAAAGCCTCATTTTTCTCCTGCACAGTAGCTGGCAGTTTCAAACTGCTGACCTGTCAGTGAGGAGCCCAACACGTAACCCACTATGTCACCAAAGCTCTGTCCAGCATCAAGACTGTTAGTATTTGCGTTTTTCACCAAGATGCTATTATATACTCCTTAGCCTTCAGTGCTATATTAGGTATAGAGATGAAGCAACACCTTTACAAGAAAAAATAAACAGCAACAAAAGTATATCTGATGATCAAACCCATCATGATGATATCACTACTGTAACAAGACACCTAAGTTTTCACCCAAAGCTATATACGAAACTTGAGTGGTCAATGGTAGACTCATGGCTCACCTACCAATACTGATTTGTGCACTTTGCAAGTTTGTCTGGAGGAGCGGCCTAAGCACTGTTACATACTTAATACCTAGAAAAAGCCTGCTATCAAGTTAAGTGGTGAACAAACATTTATTTAGTGAATAAACCAACTAAACATGTGACATAGGTACTAGGTAACAAAATGTTCTTATAATTGCTTAGGTAATTGACATGGTGGCTGAAACAATGGGCTCAAACAACAATAATTGTGGGGACCGCCCAGGGCCACGCATGCACACAGTGTTTTGCTCTGTCATCATCCGGTGGCTGTGTGTAGAAACCAACTCGAAGGTACCAGACACCCCCTAGGGTTGCCCTGAGTCAAGCTTGGGTTTTTGCTTTGTTTTGTTTTTCGAGAGACAGTAGCCTACTTGATCTAGTATTATACATTCTTTGAAGTGGTCATGAATTTCATCTTGCTGGGACCCACAATCAACGCTCATGGAAACAGCAATCAAGAGATCAGCAGCATTGCATTGAGTAAATCAGGTACAGAAGACCTTTTTAAAATGCTGAAAAGCAAGGAGGTTACTTTCAGGACTAAAGTATGCCTGACCCAAGTCAGCTTATTTTCAATCACTTCATATACAAAGAAAGTTTGACATTAAATTAGGAAGACGGAAGAATAACAAGCACTTGTATTACGGTGCTGGTAAAGAATATTCAAAGTGCCATGCACTGTATTGAATGGTCAGCCAGAATGCTCCTTAGGTGCAAGGATGGTTAGACTTTGTCTCATGTACTTTGGACATATTGTCAGGAGACCAATTCTTGGTGCAGCACAGCATGCTTGCTAAGGTAGAGGGCAGCATAAGAGGAAGTCCCTGCATGAGATGGAACGACACGGTGGCTGCAACAACGGGCTCAGGCAGAACAATTTTGAGTATGCCCGGGCAGTCTTCCATTCTGTTGGACATAGGGTCACCCTGAGTTGAAATCGATGTGACAGCACTTAACAATGACAACATATATGGCAGAGTGGATTATGTGTTGGGCTCTTAACTGTTGGTTCAGCAGTTGGAAAGTGACAGCTGGCCCTTCAGAGAAATATGAGGCTTTTCCCTCCTGTAAAGAGTTCCAGCTTTGGGTACCCACAGGCGCAATTCTACTCTGTGCTATAGGGTTGTCATGAATGGGAATCAATTCCATTGACAGTGAGTTTGATTTGAAGTTTTTCTACATTAATATCAAGAGCTATCATCCCTCAAGCAATTTAACTGTGTGATCCAAACACTTTATATAGTTTAACTCAGTTTCACAACCCTAGGAAAATACCATTATTTTTATTACAGATACTTGGGCCTGGGTTCTATCATTTTATCTTAGGAAACTTTAGGTGTCAAGGTGGGATGAAAATTCATGAGGAGAGAGCAGTCACCGATTTAGAGTTGTCTGGTAAAGCTACTTGAATTAGATGGGGCAGTAACTAGGTCTTAGGCAACTCTCTGTGGCAGGGTATCTGCAGGTCATGCATCCTCAGCTGGCCTCCCTGTCTCCTGCTTCTACTGTTCCTATCTTCACTATCCAACTGTGGGATACTCTATCCTAGTTTTATAAATCACTAACCTAGCCTGTCCTCAGCCCAAACTCTACACCTTCTGTACTGTAGGAGGCCCACAAAAATCACGCCCTTTACACTTAACAGCACTGGTGTTCAGCTAAGCAAAGGTAGCTTAGCTTCCCTGTATAGTGCAATGTTCATTCATTCTACTAGACTGGGCTACAATCTTTATGGAAGAAGTACATGAGCTCTTTCCTCTGCAAATCCAACTGGTGAATTCAAACTGCCAACCTGTGGGTTAGCAACAGATGGCAAACTTACTTGTGCAACCTAGGCTTCTCTATTTGGATCTAAAGCCATTACAAAAAGGCAGTATAAACATATAATCCTTAAAAACGATGGCTCTGCATGGAAGATTTGGGCACAAAGAGCTACAGCTCTTCAATATAAGCTTTTGTTTTACAACAGGAGCCCTGATGGCGTAGAGGTTATGTGCTAAGCTGCGATCCCCATGGTCAGCATTTCGAAACCACCAGGAGAAAGACTGGACTTTCTACTCCGAAGCCCACAGGGAGTCACTATTACAGTCCCAGACCACCACCGGGACTCACGATGGGTCAGCACTGACTCCATGGCAGCGAGTTTGGGTTTTGAGTCGTTTAGTCTTGGAAACACACAGGAGCTGTTCTACTCTGTTCCAGGGCATTACTATCAGTCAGGATTGATTTGATGGCATTGGGTTAGTTTTATTGCGTATTCTTACCTACAATCTTTGATCACATTTAGAGAATTAAACGTTTTAAGTTCCTCAGTTATATTATGTTAAGCCTGAAAGCTGTTGTCCACTGTCTTTTGCAAAGGTAGGGGCCAGTCCAGAAAAGACCTTGGAGTGGTGGGGCAGGGAAATGATCTCAGAGTGGGGAGAGAGGGTGAGAGAGAAGAGAGATTGGTTGGGGTGGGGGTTGGGGGAGGTAAGGGGATGGGGGGCGGTAAAGGAGTTGGAGGGACGATAACCTACAGGCGAGAGGCGTGGGGCAGGGCCGCAGGGCCCAGGCGGGCTGGGCTGGGTAGGTGAGCTTGCTGGATGTCTCGCTTAAGCAGCACCTCTGTCTACCTACCTCTTTCCTCGGCCTGGTCTAGCGATCCGCGGCGCAAACCGAAAGTAGAAACCCTTGCTTCCTACGGTCGAATTTGGCAGCTTCCCGAGCGACGGCTCCCATAAACCCTGAATCTATCAGCAGGGATCTAGCAGCGACGCAGCTTACCGCGGCCGGGCCACTCCCACGGGGCTCCGAGGCCCCGCCCACGGAGTCGGAGCCAATGAGCAGCGAGCAGGGCCCGGGCGCCAGATTCCCCGGATCGGGGCGTCTTTGGAGGAGTAGCCAATCAGAGAGAGCGATCTGACTAAGCCCAGCCAATCGGACGTGGGCCCAAGGGCTGGACTTCCGTTCAGCCACTTCCTCAGTTCCCCGTCTCCACGCTGAGCCGCCTCCAGCGTGGAAGTTGCCCAATCGTTAGCGTCGGGCGGCCTTGCCGAGGGATGAGTGGAAGGGTGGAGATTGCCGCCGGAGGCCGCCCGAGCCCTGTGCTAGGAGAGAACCCCTGGGTGCTTCTGCTTAGTTGCTCCTTAGATGCTGGTCTTGTGCCTGCCAGGCGGTAGTGCTTGAGCGAATGCTGTTCATTTACCCATTTTCCTTGTGGCTTGCTGTCGGCCAGATCTAGTTGTTACAACTTCGCTTTACAATGGGAGTTAACATTCCTTGTGTTTCGCCCTTTCTAATTTGTCCAGAAGCTCAGACCCAGAATTCTTGGGGGAGTTGAGAGCTTTTCCGCCTGTGCCATTGCGTTCACAGAGGCCAGTGGAAGCAAGAAGTCCGAGAATGGTGGGCGAAGGAGGAGGTCGGGCGGGGGGACCGGGGTGGGGGTGGTGAGAGTGGGTGGTGCTCATTTCGAGTGTCCATTATGGTGTGTCTGGAAAGATAAGGAAGCAATTTCAGAAACAGGAGAGGTCTTTGGGCTAAGGCAAGATCAAGACATGATAGGTATCTTGACCGGAAGATATGTCAAATTCTTAAAACCTTAAATCTTGGTCTTGCCGTTAGATTAGCTAATATGTCCTAGTCAGTTTCCTATCTTAAAATAAGTTTAGCTACTTTGTACAATTTGAATTACAGGGGAAAGTCTGAAAATAGCAGAAAATTGCATGGTCCAAATGCAGCACTGGGCTCAAACATGCACACAATTGTGAGGATGGCGCGGGACCCAGTGGTGATTCCTTCTTTTGGGTACAGGGTTGCTGTGAGTCAGAACCTACTTGATTGCACCTCACAACCACCACAGCAATTGCAAAAGGAGCCCGGGTGGCCTGGTGGGTGACGAACCACAAAGGCAGCACTTGGAAACCACCAGCTACTCCGAGTGAGAAAGAGGAGGCTTTCTGCTGGAGTAAAGATTGATAGTCTGGGACGTTTGAACAGATCACTGAATCTGAACAGACTGGACGTCACTGAGTTTGGTTTGGTTATTTTTGAGTGATTAAAAATTCCTGAAAAATTCCAAGACAGATGTGTTTGTTCTTCTGGCAGTCCATGGTACTTTCAGTGTTCTTTGCCAACACCATAGTTCGCATGGATCATTTTGTCTTGTGTCTTCCTTATTCAGTGTCCAACTTTCACATACATATGAGGTGATTAAAAATACCATGCTTGGGTCGAGGTTACTTTAGTCTGCTAATCTTTGCTTTCCAACCCTTTAAAGAGGTCTTGTGTAGCAGATAATCTTGCTTGGATCCACTATCTATGCCCGTGGAAGCAGCAGTCAAGAGATCACATGACGTATTGCATTTATTATGGTAGCAAAGCTTATTAATTAGGCAGGAAAATGAATTTCTAAACCTAAGAAGGATTCTTTGGGCAGTCTATGGTCACCAAAGTGCTGGGTGTCCACAATGAAGGACAGATACCCACCATAAATGTCAACCCTACATTCATCAAGTTTAGAAAACCTGAATAAGTCCTACAACAAGATGTACATAGTACGTAGTACAAAAGCATTTCCTCAGTAGAAGTTCAAAATGTGAACCTCTAGATTTTCAGGTTATCATCCCTGGCTATAGAGACATTCATGACAAATGCTATATTATCCAGTGGATGGAGGGGGGTGGGGGTGGGGGTGGGAGACAGAGAGAAAGAGAGAGAGAGAATTGATGGTTTCAAGTTTTTAGAACTTGCCCACTTTGTCAATCTGTACCCGTTGTTTATTTTCCAGTGTCTAGGAATGAAGACATGGGTAGATCTCTAATATGAGGTGTAATGCGATAGTCCCAAATTAAATGAGGAAAACATCCACCCAGATAGTCTCCTTCTCTAAAGAAATGGCATATAAAATGTCTGTTTGCTTGGATAATTTAGAAGTTTGCCATGTAGTACTACTAGATATTTCTTGAAGTATCATTCTCCCTCTAAATTTATTATGCATATTACGACCCCTCTGGATTTTCCTTTCTGTCTCTTCTTTGTCTCCTATGCTTAAAGCACCCCAATGCAGAATTGACAGTATGCTTGGTTTAGGGATACAGCCTCTACTCTCTTTTGAATGAGATATGTTCTAGTCAACATCAACATTTTCTACATTCCGTTTCCTGGTCTACTCTGTACTTACCTTCTGTTTCTATAGCAGGATTCTAAAGTTTCCTTAGCTCTTTGCTAAGGTGGCTGACACAGCTCCCCTGAGGTTCCTTAATCTGGTTTTCCAAGAGAAGTTTCCTATTACTTTCCACATTCATACAAGCTAGAAAATCACAACAGCTTCCAAATCTGAGCCCCTTCAAGAGGCCCAAACTCAGGAACACAAAGTGGCCTGTCATTGGTGATCTATGTTGTGGTGGTTAGACTTAATGTACTTGGGTGAAGGTAGCGGTGGTGTCCAGTCTGATGATACTTCCTTGGGAGTATTGCCTTTTTATAGGAGAGACATTGAGAACTCTGTGGTTCTTTGCCTTCCTGCTTATGGGGCCCTGTGTTTCCCATCTGGTGCTGCCATGCTCCTGTGCACCTGGGAACCCTGTGAGTCTGCACCTTGGCCTGTGATTTCCTAGCTTCCTGGTCCCCTTCCTGCTTCATCAGTCAGCAGCAGTATGAGTCAGAAGAGGGCTCCAACTAGCATTGGTCCCATGGACTTATGAGGGACTGGGCTGGGTTGCTTTCTCGATATAAATTTATTTCTTGATATCAAGTTCTGCCTTAGACAAATGTGTTTGTCACTGGTTTTGTTTCTTTAGACAATTCTGTCTGATGAAAGGATATATCCATGATGTACAATTTTTCCTGATTTTAAAGCACACAATATTCCCTTGTTCTGGTCCAAGACAGCTTCCTGTTCCATGTATAGGTTCCTTATGACCACAATGAAGTGTTCTGGGATTCCTGTTCCTCCAAAATATCCCTAGTTCATTATGATCCACACAGTCAGTCGAATCTCTTTGCGTACTCAATGAAACACAAGTTAATGTCCTTCTGGCATCCTCTCCTTTCAGCCAAGATACTTCTGACTTTGAAAGGACATCCTTCATGCGTGTCCTCTTCGGATGCTGGCTGAAATTTCCGGCATCTCCATGTCTGTATACTGCTGCAGGCATTTTTCATCTAGCTTCAGCAAAGGTTCATGTGTATGTGATATTAATAATATTGCTCAATAATTGCTGTATCGTGTTGGGCCACTTTATTTGGAATATGGATTTCTTCCAGTTGGTTGGCCAGGTAGTTGGCTTCTCAATTGCTTGGAATTGATGAGTGAATGCTTCCAGGGCTTAGAGTGTTACTTGGACTTCCTCCTTTAATACCACGGTTCTTGATCAGAGTCTGTCTCTGGAAAGGGTTGAATACTGACCAATTTAGTTTCGTGCACACCTTTGGTATACAGAGTTTCTGTATTTGGTTTGAGGGTCATTTGGTTTGAGGGTCATATGGTGACATTAGTAGGTCTGCAGTTTAGGATCTTGATCTGGCCTGGTTTCTGGGAATAGATAAGATTTCTCATGGATACTGTGTAGCGGGGGCAGGACAGAGACTCTTGCTAGGTTATAGCCTTGAACAACACCCCTAGAACTGTGAGAAGTCAAAGACCTGGAGCCCCTCTCTTAACTTCATCCTGCGAGCATTTAATTGTGTTCAAACTCTTATAGCTTCGTCAGTTCATACTGCTCATTTCTCTCCTTCTGTGCCCATACACATTCTTGAAAGCCCCCCCCATATAATTTACCCCATTTGTTTTGCTCATGGTGGCTCATCAATACACCTCACTAGTTCTTTGGAAGGAAGCCGGTAGCATTTTATTTCCAGTGCTTATACCCTTTGTAGAGGAGCCCTGGTGGTGTGGTGGGTCATGAGTTGAGCTGCTAACCACAAGGTCAGCAGTTTGAAAACACCAGCTGCTCTGCGGGAGAAAGATGAAGCTCTTTGTTCCTATGGAGATTTCCAGTTTAGGAAACCCAAAGAGGCACGTCTACTCTGTGCTATGAGTGGGCATGACCTCGATGGCAGTGAGCTTGGTTTGGTGTTGGCTCTGCTCCTCTCAGGAGCTTTCTGTGCTGCTCTCTATTGTTCCTTTCCTTCCCAAATAGTCTGCCTCTGACGGCTACAGCCACTCCATCGGCTCTGCCATTGGTTTTGACTAATCATAGTAAATATAAACATTCACATGATCTAATTTTACTTTTCAAAATAAAGCATCACGTGTGGGGTCATTGCTTTAGTAAGTGGTTGGGCTGTATCCGCTCAGAGCCCTGCAGTTCAATGTGTCTTTTTTAAAAATTATTTTTTTAAAATCGTTTTATTAGGGGCTCATACAACTCTTATCACAATCCATACATACATCAATTGTGTAAAGCGCATTTGTACATTCATTGC